CTCGGGGGGGGGGGAGCGCCCCAGCCCGTGCTGAGGTCTGCCTCCCGTCCCTTCCACCAGGACCTGATGCTGCGGCATGGCTGGCGCACCGGGGCCATCATCCCTGAGCTGGAGCGGGAGATCCGCATCATCAACACAGAGCAGTACATGCACTCGTTGACCTGGCAGCAGGCGCTCACCGGGCTGCTAGAACGCATGCAGGTAGGGGACGGCGGGGCGGGCCCGGGGGGGGGGGGGGGGGGGGGCTGCACCTCCCAGGTGCATGCTCACCCACCTCCCCACATTGCGTTCCCCCAGACCTATCAGGATGCAGAGTCACGGCAGGTGCTGGCTACTTGGATGAAGGAGCGGCAAGAACTGAGGTGAGCCAGAGGAGCCGCGACCGGGAGGGAGGCCGCCCCAGCCCTGCCTCCTCACACTGACGGGCGGGCACCGTGTTCCTCTCCCCAGATGCATCACCAAGGCCCTGTTCAATGCTCAGTTCGGGAGTATCTTCCGCACCTTCCACAACCCTACCTACTTCTCCAGGCGCCTCGTGCGCTTCTCCGACCTCTACATGGCCTCCCTCAGCTGTTTGCTCAACTACCGCGTGGACTTCACCTTTTACCCACGTCGCACGCCCCTGCAGCACGAGGCGCCCCTCTGGATGGACCAGCTCTGCACTGGCTGCATGAAGACACCGTTTCTCGGTGACATGGCCCACATCCGCTGAGGGCACTTTTATTGTCCTGGACAGACCCTCCGTTCTTTCAGCCCCAGCCACCCTGACAAGCAATAAAAGTGGTCTCTGTCCTTCCGTGCGTCTCTGCCTCCGTTCAGGATCATCATTTGACCTTGAGGATCCTCTGGGTGTCGGGGAAGTCCTCCTCCAGCAGCGACTCCTGCAGAGGGAGGCAGGGTCCAGCCAAGCAAGGCTAAGCCCAGGGCCTGTGCCCACCACCCTCCAGCCGCACTTCCCACCCCATACTCACATCAAAGGGCTCACAAAAGACATCACTGCTGCCAAAGACAGGGTTGGGGACAGAAACCAGGGTTGGGTTGGTCCCTTCTTGCCATGGGGAGAAGTCATCATCAGCATTATCTTCTGCCTGGAAGAGGAGTTGACTGGTAAGGCCCCCAAACAAGACAGAAGGAGCCTGTCCCCCCATGCCCCCAGCCCCTCTTCACCTGGAAGGCAGAGAAGCCAAAGCCCGTGGGCTTGCCTCGGGCACGCAGGTAGAGGGCTCCAGCTACCAATCCCAGCAGTGTTCCAGAAGCTACCACAAGCCCCATGCTTAGTGCTACAGGTTGAGGCTTGGGTCCCAGCACGGGTCTCTGTAAGCAAAAAGAGGGTGTCGAGGACCAGGCCAGAGATATCCCCTCACCCCGAGGCTCTGCCTCCCACTTCCGCAGACTCACCGACTGGGGAGGCGTGAGCAGGGGGCTGGCCAGAGCGTGGATGATGCCATTGAAAGCCAGGATATCCCACACGATGATGTGGCTAACCACAACTGCCCCAGGGGCCTGCAGAGAAACTGGTCAGGCCCGGCAGCTAAGCAAGGGCTGAGCCGGGAGGGTGTCAGTAAGGCCGGACTCACCAGAGGGGCCATGGAACTGTTGTCAGAGCCCACGTCTCTTACGAAGAGGCTAAGTCCTGAGTGGGCAGGAAGCAATGTCCCCTGGCTGGCATTGGCACTCAGAAAGGTGGCATTGGAAGCGTGGAGTTCTAGGTCCGGGCCACTCAGTGTCTAGGAGCAGAGTAAGAGCGGTTGGGTTGGGCCCCCCGGAGAAGGCAAACTGTGCCCAAGCCCCTGCTGTTACCATATTGTCCACAAAGCCTTCGTTGACGGGAACAAAGAGCGTCTTGTAGGAGAGCTCATTGTTCAGGAAGTCCAGGAAGTCCAGACCTCGCTGGGTGGCGTTGGCATAGCCCAGCAGCAGCTGGAGGGTGAGGAGACGGGGTTGTGGGCAAGCTCCCTCCTTGGGGGTCCCAACTGCCTACGTCCCCACTTCCGAGGCTCGATTCCCTGCACACCCCATAGAAGGTGGAGAAGTTGGCAGTGGCAGCCAGGACATCCAGCAGCTTCCCGTTGCATGTACTGATCCCGTCACCCACGAAGCCGACCCGACACTGGCAAGCCACGTCTGCAGGGAAAGGCAGGTCAGCAGCTTAGAGAGGCTTCCCGGGGAGGAGACCAGGGGGTGGGGGTGGGCACAAGTCTGTGGAGTGGACGTACCTTGCACACGGTAACAGTAGGCGTCCCAGCGCTCCGAAAGGTTCCTGCGGACACCGCGGCTAATCACGCCTACACGGTTATTGCCACAGTCTGCCGCTGGGAAGACGACAGGGTGGGCAGCAGAGCCATTGGCCAACCAGCCCACGAAGCAGATGTGAAAGCCCAGCTGTGGGGGCGGGAGGGGATGCTGAGACCAAAGCCCAACTCAATGGGCTTCCATAGGCTTAGCTCCTACCCGAGCCCTGGGCACCTGCTGGGCAGCAGAGAGTTGAGGGAGTGAAGCAAGGACCGCTCCCTGTTCCTCACATGCTTCCTTGGCCTCTGAGAAGGTCAAGCCATAAGGGCCACTGGTGGCCTGGATGTGGAAGACACCAGCTCGTTTTTCTGCAGGAAGAAGGGAGGATAGATGGTCAACAGGACAGCGACCAGGGATAATGCGGTGGGTTGCGGGGTCGGTATGGAAGCACACCCTGGAAATGCAGGTCGGTGCACAAAGCATCTGGGTGGCAGGGTGATGCCTCGCCCAGGCATCGGTCCACAGGCGGGTCAAGCTCCGCCAGACATTGCAGTCCGTCACCCACGTAGCCTACGTGGCATTCGCAGCGCCGTGTGTTCTGCGGGCAGAGAGAGCAGTGGGTGTCTCACGAAGACTGGAAGAGTGGGTCTGTGGAGCCTCTGCACCCAGACTGCGCGACTCCCCGCCGACTGCTTACCGGACCAGTGTTGAGGCAGTCAGCGTGCTCACTGCAGCCTCCACGGTGGCCATCCAGGCAGGGGTTGCGAGCTCGGCAGCTCCAGCCATCACCCTCGTAGTCGGGCAGACAGGTACAGTTGACCGCCGTCCCCACCTGGCTGCAGTTGGCATGCTCACTGCAGCCACCGTGCCCCTTCTGGCACAGATCTGCCACTGGGGGCGAGGAGAGAGTGGTGGAGCCAGATGTCTGGAGTGGGTCCAGGGCTTCCCGCCTGCAAACCCCGGCCTTCTGCTTACCTGTGCACACACGGCCATCCCCTTCGTAGCCCAGACTGCACTCACAGCTGTTGCCCACACGGCACATGGCCTGGGTTGCACAGGGCGGGGTACACACAGGCTGCAACTCTGTCCCCAGGACGCAGCCCATGTGACTGGGTCAGTAGCTGTCCTCCTAGCCACTGCCTCTCCCACCCACCCGTGTGCAGCTAGGGCGTGGTCCTGGGGTGCGTGCATGTGCCGCAGGGGCACAAGCTGACGCGCTACTCACCCAGCTGTACTTCACAGCGTGGCCCAGTCCAGCCTTCGTCGCAGAAGCAGGAGCCAGAGCCCCCAAGGCCTTCATCGCAACGGCCGTGCGGGGTACAGCGGCAAGCTGGGGAGAAGGGCAAGTTGACACACGGGACAAAGGAAGTAGGGCAGGACAGAGTGGGACAGGGCAGAGATGACCCACCTTGGCACTGGGGTCCAAAGGCACCTGGGGCACAGAGTTCACAGGCTGACCCAGCAAAACCCGGACGGCAGCTACACTGCCCACTTCCACTCATACCATCCTGGCACACACCGTGGTCACTGCAGGGGCTTCTGGGGCCACCGGGACAAGCTGGGGAAGAGTGTAGAAGGGTAATGGGACCATCGGCTCTCGTGAGCAAACCACACACCCGCACCCCAGGCTCTGCCCTCTGTTCCCCTACTGAGTGCCAGCCAAGGCTCTTCAAGGAATGTCAGTTCAGTCACGGCCTCACACCACTGAGACCCCTCGGAACTCCACACCAGATTATGAAGCTTCTGTATACCTAACCCCCTAACCCACTTTTTATTTTTAGACAGGGTTTCTCTGTGTAGCTTTGCACCTCTCCTGGAACTCACTTTGGAGACCAGGCTGGCCTTGAACTCACAGAGATCCACCGGCCTCTGCCTCCCAAGTGCTGGGATTAAAGGTGTGCGCCACCACTGCCTGACAAACTATTTCCTTTCTGTTTTTTTTTTTTTTTTTTTTTTTTTTTTTGTTTTTTTTTTTGTTTTGTTTTGTTTTTTTTTTGAGCTGAGGCTCAAACCCAAGGGTCTTGCGCTTGCTAGGCAAGCACTCTATCACTGAGCTAAATCCCCAACGCCCAAAATCCTTCCTTTCTTTTTTTTTAAGATTTATTTATTTATTATGTATACAGCTAGTGTTCTGTCTGCATGTATCCCTACAGGCCAGAAGAGGGCACCAGATCTCATGACAGATGGTTGTGAGCCACCATGTGGTTGCTGGGAACTGAACTCAGGACCTCTGGAAGAGCAGTCGGTGCTCTTAACCTCTGAGCCATCTCTCCAGCACCCAAAATCCTTTAAGGGCAATGACCAGAGCTTTGTCTTGGGCCAGCTTGAGGGCCGGAGGAGGCGGTCAGCTCGTCTGTAACCCCCAGCATGCTTACCTTGGCAGTCAATGCCGTAGTGACCAGGGCAGCAGCTGGGCTTCCAGGTGACAGTGACACAGTTGCGGTGGCAGCCCCGACCCAGGCGTTGGGGGTGGTTCCAAAAACCAGGCCGCAGCCAGGCGCCGCTGCGCACCGTCGCGGCGTGCAGCGGAGATGTCCAGAACTTGGTGTAATCGCGCCAGCAGACCTTGGGGCTGCCCTGGGTCAAAAGGAGCCAGGCCACAGCCAGCCTGAGCTTGATGACGCTCTGCCTCACCCCAACCCTCAACTCAGCCTCCAGCCCCTTACCTGCTCCTGTGAGCCCTGAGGACAGGGTGGCTCCAGCCCACAGACGCTGCAAGTCTTCTGGAGGGGATGGAGGCCAACACTGTGGGGTCAGGTGGATGGACAGGACAGGACAGGTGGGCTGGACCCCTGCCATGCACCTGTGGCCTGTGGCCTTCCTCACCATTTGAAGTGTCTGGGTCTCAAAACGATCACAGCGGGCACCGAGGCCAGGCGGCTCCAGCAGCTGGTCAATGCCGTAAGCCAGGCCACCTTCGAAGGGTAGGTGCCGTTGCACAATGTGGGTGTTATCTTCACCTACCATGAGCTCACCCTAAAGGGGAAGATGTTGGGGTCATGGGCACTGCAGCCCCTCGCTGCCCTGTACCCGTTTTCCTTAGCCGCGCCCTCTCCCCAGACTCACAGGCCGGGTACGGCTACAGGAGAAAGAGATGGTATTTCCGTGCATGGTTCGGAGTTGGCCCAGGTTAGGTAGGTCAGACGCCAAGGCCTAAATAAGTGGAGACATGACTGGAGTTGGGCATGCAGGCAAAAGGGGCCGAAGAGTGGGTCTGTACCCACCTCAATGTTGCGAATCACGTGACCCCGAAGAATGGCTGCCAGTTTGTCACGGTGGTCCTCATGGTAGAGCCAGGTCTGCCGTTCAGGAGGCAGGGCTCTCAGGGCAGAATCTGTGGGCCACAGCATAGTGAAGGGACGGTGGGATGCATCTTGGAGCATGGGCAGAAGACCAGCCGCCTGTGGGGTTGGAGTGAAGGGGTGACGGTTGGAGATGAGGCTGGACCCCAGAAGCCAGAAAGAAGATCCAGAGAAACCCAGCCCGGGTAACTGGCCACACTTATCTGCAACCATCCTGGGCAGACAGTCATTCCCTCTGCAGGGACCAGGTCCCAAGAACACA